TTCAAAATAAATTATATATTTGAGTTCATGGGGGAATGGGTAATTGGGTTTAGGTTCGAACCTCGGGTTTTGACCACGTGGGCCCGGGGGCGATTTTGACTTTTTGGGTAAAACATTGGAGAACTCATTTTTCATGCATTCAAATTGATTCACTTAGTTTTTATTGATGTAATTAAGTAACTTGTGGCTAGATACGAGCGAATTGGCAGAGGAATCAAGGGGTAAAGCTACAATTGAAGCTTGAGTTGTATTCGAGGCATCGAAGTAAGTGTTTGGTCTAACCTTAACTTGAGGGATTAGGAGTTGTGGCCTATTTTTTATTTGTTCCTTGTTGAGTACGACGTATAGGCATGGTGAAAAGTATCTATGTGTTGGTGTCAAGCATGATCATGAGTGTTATATTGTGATTTTCATGATCTCGTTGTATTATTTATGCTTTGGTAAAGATTTCTATTTGTAGTATAAAGTTGTGGAAAGAATTGTGACCTATGAACATTGAGGAGCGTTCGCTCCAGTTGTATAACGATTTGTGAAAGTATAAGTGATAATCGAAACTCTAGAGCATTGGCTCGAGTTGTGAAGCGAATTGTGAAGTAAAAGTGAGAAAGAGAAGAGATCATTATGTTGCCCCTTGTCGGGCTATTGTTGAGTTGAGGTTCGCTTACATTGTGTTCTTAATTGATATTATGGACGCTCAGGTTGATGATTCTTCGTGTTAGGTGTTGTAACAAGTTTGGTTATAGCTGGGTAGTTAGGTGTTGTAACGAGTGTAGTTATAGCTGAGATAGTTAGATGTTGAAACTAATTGAGTTATAGTTGAGATAGTTAGGTGTTGGAACAAGTTTGGTTATGGCTGTTTCTCCCTTACCAGGACGTATATACTTGTACTATGGAGTTCCCTTGCCGGGATAGTGTAGTCTATTGTTGATCCCTTGCCGGACGGTTAATTATGATTATTGTTGACTGTATATTTGGAATGGGTTGCACGCCGCAACAGATATTATATTGGATCGGGTTGCACGCCGCAACAGTTATATATGTGGATTGGGTTGCACGCCACAACAGATATTATATTGGATCGGATTGCATGTCGCAATGGATATTATATTGGATCGGGTTGCACGCCGCAACAGTTATTTATGTGGATTGGGTTGCACGCCGCAACAATGTTAAATGATAAGGGATCGGTATGCGCGCCACAACAGTATTGTTATTGTATTGATTGTAGACATCGAGTGTTCTTTCATACTTTATTAAGTTTCTGATAGAATTGATATGTTTCCCCGAAGCATGTCCCCCCTCCCTTTAAAACTATTATTGCCTGTTTATATTTCTGCTGCACATTATATAACTGCACAGGTTTATCTGGAGTCTGATCCTAGCCTCGTCACTACCTCGTCGGGGTTAAGCCAGAAACTTACTAGCACATGGGGTCGGTTGTGCTGATACTACACTCTGCACTCTGTGCAAATACCGGAGCGGCACTTGATCAGTAGCAGTAGGGGAGCCAGCCTTTAGTCTACCCAGACACCGAGGTAGCCTTGCAGGCGTCCGCAGGCCTGGCGTATCCTCTATCTTTTATTATGTTCTGTTATCTCATGTATCCGAGACAAACAGTGTTATTTTTCCTTCAAACTGTTGTATGTAGTACTCCTAGTAGTCCGTGGATATTGTGACACCGGTTTCTGGGTAGAGGCATGTGTTGACTTTCGAAATATTTTATTTTTATTTTTATTTATGACTTCCGCTTAAATCTCATATTCCGCTGTCATTTAGGTGTTTATTACTTGTTAAAATGAGTTGTAAAAAAAGATTAACACAGAAGAGCTAAAGATTTCTAAGTTCGTGGCTTGTCTAGCTTTTACGAGTAAGCGTCATCACGACTCTCGAGGGTAAAAATTTTGGATCATGACATTTATGGTGCAAAAATAACACTTGGAGCACAGATTGAAAAGAAGCTGTCTATATTGAAACAGAGATTTAGATTTATGGAGGGAAGTGTAGATTCTTTTCATCCTGTTACCCCAGGTCATAGTCCCGGCATGGGTCACTTTAAACATGATTGACAAAGTTGTTTGTCGGATGACACCATGAACTGAAAGATGTACAAAAGAGCGAGAAAGACTGACTAGACGGTTGTCAATCAGCTCTGAAGGTTGCAAAGCCATAAAGTGGAAATTTTTATTTTGTTTCTCATACAACTGACACTAATTGCATGAGGCAATTTTTTTGTCTCACAATTTTGTGGATCCAGATTTCTGTGGACCCAAAAGTGTAAGATTGGGTCCACAAATTTGTGAGACAAAAAGGAGCCTCATACAACTAGTATAAGTTGTATGAGACACAAAATAAAACTTCTCCCATGGAGTGTTCGTTTAAGCCAATGTACTAGCAATTTTTGTGATGACAATTTTCTGTTTTTAATGCTCTTTTCTTTTGTCATTTTGATATATTGCATGCATGTATTTATAGTAGTGCTTCAGTTGATTCGGTTAGTTTCTAGGGAATCAAAGTGTAAATTTTGTTATAGTTTCTCCACTCTCCTGGTTATTAATGCGACATTATCACGATTAATTCTTCCTCGAGGTACTAAATAATTAGCTACTGTTTACTTTTGGTTCTACCTCTTCTTCTACTATCATATGCTATTCATGAATTCTACTACCTTTTTTTTTTTAGATTTGGACAATGGACTATTTCCGTATCTCAACAAATGAACAGCACTAGTGCCTTTTTTTTTTTTACATGGAAAATACAAATCAAATGAAAACATGTTAGATTAAAGTACGGAAAGTACGATCCTGTTTGTGTAATGAATTTTGTTGTGAGGAGTTCAAGGGACTTATTATATTTACCTTTAGAAAGTTTAAATATTTAAAAATTAACCCACGGTTTTCTCAGATTTATATGTATCACAACATAGTTAGCAAACTAATATTGTATCTAGGGGTGGCAAATGGGTTGTTTGAGCTGTATTTGGGCTGGTCAAGATGGACTGACTCATTAAATGGGTCATTGCCCAACCCTGCTCAAAGTTCACTTGGGTTAAAATGGGATGAGTTAAGATGGGCTAAACAATGGATAGTAACCCAATCCGCATAAATTGACCCAATTTTTTACAATATTCTCAACTTTTAAACAAGCATATATAGAAATTGTCTTATGTTTTGGAATAAATATCAATTGATGACTAATGATTTCTTTCCTTAAATAAGATTTAGAATTTTATTTGAGAGTTTTTCATCTTATAATACTGACAAAGATCAGAATAATAAAAAAGTAGTAAAATTAAAAATTCCCATCAATCCCAACCCCGAATCCCCACCCCCACCCTAAATAGAAATTTTTTTCTCCTTCTCTTGATAGGGAAAATATTTTCCTTCAATTGGAGAAAAATGAATTCATAAAAAAAATATTCAAATATTTAAACCAACTAAACATGGAAAAATTAAAAAATATCTTTTGGAACATAGGTCAAGGTAGAACTCTAAGATTGAGCATTTACATGAGCCGGGGTTGGGCATGATTATAGATCCATTTGGGCGGATGAATTTTAATGGAATAACTTGGGCTAGCCCAAAGTAGCCCATTTTAATAAGGGAAATTTTTGTTCCTATACAATATAAGAAACTATATTACCAAATATGTTCATAGTTTGCATATTACCCTTCATGCTAATAGTATTTCTACATAATATATACAATGCATTAAATAAGGAATCATTATAGTTGTAGGATTCCTTATTTATGTGAGCTAAAAAAGGAGAATTAAATATTTTCCAGATCTTCCAGCACAAATCACGCATAGTAATCACTATCGTCGACTTCGTTACAAAATTCCAGTACTCCGTTTTTTGCGCTAAACTCTGTTTCAACATTTCTCTGATTTCACAAATCAAAATCGACAAAATCTTCTACAATTCTTCTGCAACAAAAGCAATTATGGCGAAAATACCAATTGTGCTACAATCGAATGAGAATTGGGATAGCTATGGGAGATTTAGAGAATTCGAGGCCGATGGCACTATAGTCGATGACGATGCGACTTATAGTCTATTGATTTCTATAATAGCACAACAATTAATGATTGATACATCCGAAAAAATTATAGAAATCAAATACATTGTCAACGAGCATTGTCCTCCAATGAAAATTAGGAACGATATGGGTGTTTGTGTATACATGGAGACGAAAAAGGAAAACAAAAACTTAGGATCATATCCATTTTGTATAACTGTTCACGATTTCAATATGAAATTGAGTATCACCAATGAGAACACAACTACAAGTTATAATTTGTATATGATCCAGTTTGTAGAAAATTTGTAGATAATTTGTACAACTAATAAAAATTTGAAAAATTAATATGAAATACTAAATTTCAACCTTTCTACAAATTTTCTACAAACTGGTGATAACAATATTTATATTTATTTTCATGCAGGTTCGTCTGGAATACAAAAGTTACTTGATATGCCAATATCTCCCGTTATAGAGGAATATAAAAGTATAATAATAACAGATAGTACACCAAGTTCTATTGAAGTAGGACAAGTATACCAAGACAAGAAAACAATTGCAACTGCAACGAAGCATTATTCTGTCATGCACAAGTTCTAATTCAGGGTTAAAAAATCTAATTCTAGAAGGTATGAACATATGAATAGTCAAATATTTTTTTTTTAATTTTGTAGTTTATTTGTAATTTTTACTTCTTCAGTTTTCCTTGTGATAATGTTTAGCAGAATTGTAGTTATATTGTATTTATATTGTATAATGTGATTGTTTAAGCTAAAACAATTTTTTTAATCTAAATTTTAACCCATTGTTTAAAATGTATTATTTTGTAGCTACTAACTGATATATGTTGGTGAAAACTGTACATGGCACTTCAAGGCAACTAGCATAAATGATTCTGCAATGTTCAAGGTCAGAAATTTCGACAACCAGCACACATGTTTTTTAATGGACAATACATTCATACAACGCAAACCTACTGCCATGGTAGTTGGTAGCATGGTTATTCCAAAATATTCTGATCCTAAGACAATTTACAAACCAAAAGACATTCAATTTGACATGTTGTCTGAACACGGCGTGAATCTAACCTACATGCAAGCCTGGAGAGCAAAGGAAAAGGCTTTACAGTTTTTGAGAGGTCATCCTGCTGACTCCTGCAGCAAATTGCCTAGTTATTTGTATATTCTAGAGAAGACTTATCCAGGGTCTGTAGTTAAATTGAAGAAGACAGATGATGACTGCTCCTTGTATGTATTTGTTGCGATTTGTACGTCAATCAGTGGTTGGGAATATTGTAGGCCAGTTGTAGTAGTTGATGGGACCTTTTTAAAGTCAACATACAAGGAAATAATGCTAACAGCCAGTACAATGGATACGGCAGGTACTGAAGTTTTATTTGTAGAAATATTATAGCTTGTATGTTTTTTTGTAGTACTTGTAGATTAATTGTAGATATATTATAGAATAATTATAGTTTGTATATATATGTCTTCTTTTGCATTTTTACTGTAGCCAATTAATTGCTTCTTGCCACATAATGTAGGTACCATATTACCATTGGCATATGCTGTTGTTGATTCAGATTACCATATTCATAGTACTTACCATATTACCACATAATGTACGGAAAAAGTTCAAGAAGGGACATCTAGAGGTAAGTGAATTATACTTTGTCACAGCGCGGTCATACACACTTGATGAATTTAATGAAATGATGTCAAGGATTGAGGAGATTGACACCCGTGTTAAAGCATACTTATACGATATTGGATATCATAGATGGTCTCGAGTATATGCTACGATAAACAGAACTTGGACTATGACATCAAACATTGCAGAGTCATTGAATGTTGTAACAAAATATGCAAGAGAGTTGTCGATAGTAGAACTATTAGAGTATATGAGGACCCTTCTTGAACGTTGGATGAAAGAAAAATTATTGAAAGCAAAGGGTACATTCAAATACCTTGGATACAAATTCAACAAAGAGTTGGATGACCACAGAATATTGTCGCACAAACTTAGAGTAAGATCTGATTATTTATTTAACCAAATTCATAAACAGCATAATGTAGATATTTTGTATATAACTTGATTTTAACCATATATGAATTGTTTTTTTGTTTGTAATATACTCGTAGGTGATGGCTTCAACAGACTACATCCATACAGTAATAGATGGTGTGAGGCGCTATATTGTTTGTCTTGAAAACAAGAAATGTAGTTGTGGGCAATTCCAGCTTGATGAATTACCTTGTCCACATGCTTTGGCTACTTTAAGACAAAGGGATGAGTCTTTTGAAGGATATTGTTCTCCTTATTACACAAGGGTGAACCTCTTGCGTACGTATGAAATACCAGTAAATCCGCTGCCTGATGAGAGCAAATGGAATGTGCCACAATATATAACTGAAGAAGTAGTAAATCCACCTAAAGGAGGGAAAAGACAGCTAAGAAAACCTCAAAAAGAAAGATACAAAACATATGATGAAATAAATTCAAAGAAGTACAAGGTTTCATGCGGCAACTGCGGGGGAGAGGGGCATAACAAAAGATATTGCAAGAATGCGCCCAAAATGAAATAAAATTCTATGTAGTTAATAGAATATTTGATGAAAATTTGTTGGTTAGTTCTGGATAACAGATGTTGATGTATAATCATTGGTTTTTTTAAAGATCATAATGTAATTAGTTAGGATGTTTCTATACTGAGATAATACTTTCATTCAGTGATTTGTTTATGAATGTTTTCTATATATATAATCTATTACTTTTTTTACTATATATGGAATCCTTTACATAGTTGTTAATATGGTTTTGCAGTTTATCTACAATAAAACTACAAAAAATACATTATATGGAATTTACAGAGTATATACATTATAAATCTGTAGGAAATTAGTTAAAACTTAAAATATTGTAGATGAAGTATTGTCTACATTGAAAAAATGAATATAAAAGAAGCATAACATAATATATAAAATAATCTACAAATTATCTACAAATACAACTACAAAAAAACTCCAATAACTATAGCTGACGTAATATATAGATTAAAATTCAGGTAGAAAGAAGCTTTATGGTGAAAATAATGTAGATCAGAATAAATGTAGATCAGTTGCAAAGGATTTAAATGCTTTAAATAATGAAGATCAAGTACTGTACATATTCAACAAGTGAATACAAACCCAACAAACTGTTTCCATTTGTACTACTATACTGGATAAGAAAAAAGAAACAAAGGCTACTATAATTGTAGCACAAGTTTGCTACAATTAAAACATAATAAATTGTTCAAAAACTTGTCTACCATCTATCTTATAAACTAGCATCAACTATACAATTGTAATACATGATCCATTCCAAACATTACAACTACTTCTTCTTCCTCTGGACTCTTGTTTTCTCATTCAAAGCTGGTGCACCCTTCCTCCTTGCCAATTTGCCTGTCACCTCATTATCACTAATTGCCCCAAGCTCCTACTTCTTTCTAGCATAGTACCAAAGTAGCGCTCCATAGCGTCTACGGTGTTGGTCAATATCAGAAAGGTCTTCTGAAGGAATGGATAATTCCCCAATACTAACATACTCTACAAAGGCAGCAACAAATACACTACAATCGCTGCAAAAGATAAAAAAAATATCAATATTTACCAAACCATCAGATAAAAAAGGGATAAATGTAAAAAAAAAAGAAGTTTTTTGTTACAGTGATCCTTCTTTTTTCTGTGGTATCTCTCCGACGATCCACTGAATGTTAAGAGGTCGGTAACAGGTTTCTCAATGTATGCTTTTATATTCTTGAAGTTGATGTCTTTACACTTCCCATAAAACCCGGTGCATGACAAATACAAAGGGACGATAATAGAAAACTTGTTGACACAAGATTCAACAATAGGATGATTGTGTGAAGAGACCATGGAATCATACGCATAAAGACACCTTTCTGCAATGTCAAAAACAACCAACACCCAGTGGAATTTTTCTACAATATTGACGCGCATGATGACATACTCAACTTCATCCCATGCAATATTTGCGAGTAATATATACCCTAATATATATTCTGCTACAACATCCTGGGGTTTGACAACAGAAACTTCTTTTCTTGAGGAGAATTTTTGAACTTTTCATAAATTTGATCAATCCTAGTCTTGAACACACAATCTATTATAGTAAATTTGGTGTTGTTGTGGGGGCCATACTTGCCTCTTTTTCTCATGTAATACATTATAACATTAATGTGCTGCAACAAAAACAGATTGCATTTATTCTACATGTTATCTCAAACTATTCTACACAAAACTACAAATAACTACAATACATTTACAATCAGAATACAAAGCATCTACTCATTCAGAATACAAAATATTTACAATTTATCTACAAAATATCTACAAATTAAATACATTGAATCTTACCGAGTCATTAAGGACTTGTCCTGGGTGTGCAAAGGAAAAGAACCACTCCTTCTTGTCAACCTTTTCAACTCCAAGATCCAACCATGGCTTAATTTGGTTGTCCTTTATAGAATAAAGAGCCTTTCTCCTATATAAACAAATAGAAATTAAAATAAAATTGTTGAATGAAGTGGATGTGTAAAAGATGAATATCTAATTAAAAGTGTCAAATTGTACAACCTAACCTCTTTGGACCTGTGTTGGTACTGTTGTATAACCACTTATGGAATTGATCCAACAACTCAGGGTCTAGATTTTGACCAATAACACTAGTAAACGGGTGCTTGAGGTGAATATTTGAGGTTCAACCAAGGTGATTCCACTAGAACCGTATAAAGGGAGAAATGGTGATCGGACATGCTTTCCCGGCTGCCTTGTTCTACCTTGATGCACGGGTGTTGTTTTATCTTGTATAGGCTCGCCGAACTTAACCAACTGGGAGAAGTTATCAGGCAGCTCGAAATCATCAAGTGTAACCTCCTTCATCCCACCTCCAGATTCTTCTGAATCACCTACATTCACATACTCTGCCTCTTCACCTACATTGTTATCTTTCGGATTCTGCTGTTCTGTTTGAGCTGCTACTGTCACTCCGTGAATAGGAGATTGTGCATGCATATTTTCCCTCTCTAAAACATCATGTATATATAACTTAATAGAATGGTAAAAATATTGAAACAATAATAAAATATCTCTATATACAATTTCAAACCTGTTTTCTCTTCATCAACAGCCCCTTCAAAATGTGTATATAAATCAACGCGTGTTGGATGATTTTCTTCACCATAAGCACATTCAAAATGTTCTATTTTTTTCATTAAAACTGTTAAATAATACTGATAGTATTAGCTTGAAAACTTATGAAGATATAAAAGTGTGTCATAATATCTACATAAATCTGTATTGCTGTGTAAGTAAGCTGGATTTAATTGTATATATTGTGTATACATAATGTATTCAAATTGTAGTTATGTTGTAGATAATTTGTAGTTATTTTGTAGATATTTTGTATATAATTGTAGATATACTGGAGATATATTGTAGATACCTGTTTTGCTGGGGCTGACCTGCACTATTTCACCACTATTGAACTGAAATTGCTGATTGTTCTTGTCTTTTGGTTGGTCAGTATTTTTTGTTGAACTCCCAGCAAACTGTAAGTTTTATATTAGTTAGGATATATATTTTAGAGGTGACATAAATAATTTTGTTAATATGATTAAGATTTAAATGTTACTTTTGAATCAACTTGATCATTTGGATTGTTTATCACCTGCAAAACAGTCTTGACTGAATCCTTTATTAGGTCTCGAAGGCTACCTAGTTCTTCAAATACATCTTTCCTTAATTTTTCAAGCTTTTCATCGACCTACATAATTAAAAAAATACATAGTTACCTTCAGAAATATGTATTAAAATATAGACACACTATTATATAAAAATCAGAATGCTTTATTGGGACTACATGTTATCTTCTCAACACCTCTTTTTAACTTTTTTATTTTACGAAGAATATACTCCTTTTCCTCTTTTCCAATTGATTCTTTGGGTTCCAATGGAGGAGCAGCAACTTTTGGATTCTCAGAAACATGTTCAACCTCTTCAATTGTGTACTCAACTTTATCAGGCAAAGACATCACTAAAAGCTCTTCAGGTGATTCATTTATGTTGGTGAACTGAATGATGAAAAAAATAAATTAGCTTGTTTGAGGCAGAATATGTATACAAAATGTAGATAATTTGTAGATACATTGTATTATGATAAATAAAGACCATTTACCTTCATCCATTCAGGTTTGATCATTTTGTCTTCAATTGTAGCTAACCAAATCTGACCCTTAGCAGCTGACCAGTTTAGTATGTGAGGGATTGAATTAGAAATCTCTGTAGTTATATCAATGTTGACGGAGGAGCAACACTCATACAACCATACTTGCATGTCTAGTGGGAATCCTCGAATGAGATAAGAATTAAAGAAAGGATTTAGCCTGTGCCTAACAGATTCAATCAACTGTCTGTAAGACTGAACACTCTATGGAAATGACTCGTACTGACCGGATTCAACCAAATAAAACCTAAAATGATCTACCAACCCAATATGGTCTCTCTCTGAAGGACAAATGAAGTATTCTATGAGATATAAAATATATAACTTGACTGCATCCTCATTATTGATCCAGCTTTTGGTTGTTACTATCTGTTTTAGGTATGTCTTCTCCACTTTTACTTTATTTGGAAAGTAACTGCTCATTAACTTACTGGCATAACTAGGAGTGTAACAAAGTCCATCAACTCAGTATGACATCTAAGACCAGTTATTACTGCAAACTTTCTCAATCCAAAATTTAACCTCTCACCTTTTAACTTAGCTGGAAAATAGGAAGCATCAAATGATTTCAATTCATACTTCGTAAGAAGATGAATAGCTTGATTTTGCATGCATAAATTGGGAAACGACAGTAAATAACCAAAGCATGTCTTCTTAAACAGATTCAAACCATTTGGAGAAAAAAATGCTTTAATTTGGCTAGGAATGCTAGGGTCACATAATGTTTGGAATCTAAGCACCCCATAATCAACATTATGGGATGCAAAAAAATGTCCATTCTGCAAAATTCAACAAATGTAATCTAACATTAATATAGTAATTAAAAAGCACTGATACATTTGTATGTTTTTACAAAATAACTTCAAAATTATACAATATAACAACAATGTTAAAATAGATCAACAAATCTACAATTAAACAACAAAATTAAGACAAATAATCTCACATAATTTCAGTGCTTAAAAACATAAATACATATGCAATTTATATAAAACATTTCTACGAAAATCTACAAATCAAAAAAACCACAGATTATGTAGATTTTTAACAACTAAAACAGGTGAAAGAAGTAGCGAAGAAATTAAAAAGTTCTTACCTCCACCAGTGAGTGTTTTCGAACATTTTTTGAAGTTTTAACACTAGGGAATTTTTTTGAATTTTTCTTGTTTTTGGGAGTTTTTGAACTGGGAGCCACCTTAGCTTTCTTTCCAGGTTTACTGATAATACATCTTCTACAAAATCATCATCTAGAACTATCCCTTTTCGTTTCCTATCCGCTTGTTTGATTGGCCTCGAA